CTTTCTTTCTTTCTTTCTTTCTTTCTTTCTTTCTTTCTTTCTACTTGTATCCAGCCCCACAGTGCATAGCTCTCTCGGGGCCATTTACATCTGTCGATCGATAGAGACATAAACACAGAGGGACAGACACTCCGCTCAAGTTAAAATCTATGTGAGAAGCATTCAAACATCTCCCTTTTCCTTGAGAGCTACAGTAGTTTTGTACATGCAGGGGATTTCTTTTTCAAAGGCAAATATTCAACCACACGATTTCATCCCCACACCCTTCAATCGAAGTTATAGTCCAAAGTTCATGGTAAGGTTCTGTCTGTTGTCTTTTTAGACCTCGCTCAAGCACCAATGCAATGATGCTTGTCTGAAGTTCTGTTACACAATTCCTGGACCAACGTGTCTTTACTGACATTTAATAAAGGGTGTAATCTAGACTCAGAGGAAGGAAACAGGCTAGCCCACCCTCCCTTTCCCCAGTCCATCTTAATTCATTATGTAAAGGAATCTATCTATGGGGGTTGTTCATTTGATCAGAATACATGAAAAACTAAGCTTGCCAAATCAGGCAAAAATACTCCATGTACAGAGGCTGCTCTTCTCTTCCTATTTACCCACACACAACCACAAAAAACTAAGATGGAGGAAGGCTTGGATAACCTGTTGCCCCTCTTCACACATTAAGACCGGCCTTTTTATTGAATGGCTGGATAGCATTCATGTTGACCTCAGCATCACAGTTGGGGTCCGACAGAATTATAATATACTAAAAAAAACAAGGAAAACAAACAGAAAATGAGATTATCCCATTCTACTCATATGTCACAGCTCTGTTTTTGAGTTACAGGTCCCTGACTCCTCCACCAGCAATGAATTCTGGGAGTTTTCATGAGACAAGCAGCGTTTCCGAATTTTTGCAGTGAACAGGAAGAGGTGTAACTTGATCCCAAAGGTGAGAAACAGGTGGCCTTTCAGACATTAGCCATTCTGATTCTCATAGGAGCTAGCCCGTCTGGCCTGCGGTGAAGCTAGATGGAGCTAGTCCTTCATCAACATTCGTAGGAGTAAGCTTTGCTCATAATCAATACCCTGGAAGCCACAGAAGTTGGACTGGTGCTCATTTTTTTTAATAGGACCCAAGGGAATCTAGTGAAAGAGTTTCACCCTGGATATTCCTTGCTCAGACACAATAGACCGGTGGAAGTGGTTGAGAAAACTTCGTTCTGCCAGAACAGGTGCCTGCTGCAATTCAGTGAGGTGGGGTGCACAGTAAGTCCTTATTTACTCTTTCCTTTCCTTTCCTTCTCCCTCCCTGCTCCTCCACAGGTTTCACACAGCCCAGAACGGAGACACCAGGGTGGCACAGACTCCCTCCAAATGACCAGACAAATTTGGGTCAAGACGGTGGAGCTCAGCACTATCCAGAACGATCAATCCCAGTGATCTATTTAGCTACTGCAGTCAGAAAGTTTTATGTTAAAAATTGGAATAAAGCAGAGTTACTGAAACACGAGGAACTTTTTTGAGAAAATATGGGAAGCGGCAGAAATGGATATTCTTTCAGTCGTGTAGAAAGACTGTCCAATTCAAAAGGAAATGGGACGATGGGATTTATTATACAAATGGCTTCAGTTCCCAGATAGTGTTGGAGTAACATGGATTTAAACTAAAACATAACTGTAAGTTGAAAGCTGGAAGGTAATCAAATTGTAAAAAAGCAGAAAGTTGATTTGTTATTGTAACATGAATAGATTGGATGATTGCATACATTCTGTTCCTTTCCTCCTGTTTCCTTTTACCTTTTGTATTTCCTACCTTATTCCTAGTTGTTCAAAAATAAATATTAAGCACACATTTTAATTTTTTTTAAAAAAAACAAACACTACTCCCATGTGTTGTGCAGAAAAGGGGATTTCTAGGATGCATGGTCAAAAAAAAGTAACTTTTCAAAACTGTCATCCAGCCCTCACAAGAAATGTAAGAAACATAGGACTACATCCATAGTGTAAATCCATCCATGCATCCAGATCAACTGCAGCTACAATCAAACTGGGAGTAGGTCCCATGGAACACAATGGGCTCACACATCTGCGTAGACCCGGTCCATTTGAGAGGTTCTGTAAGCAAGGATGGAGTTTCCGATCTCAGGTCTGCTCCAAATGTCCACCAGAATCATACATCTGTTTGCTCGTGTTTCGAGCTGCAGATCTCAGACTCTTGTGCTGCCACATTATGCACATAACATAGGGGCTCATCATCAATAGAACCACCATCCCAGCACCGTCTCTCTCTCACACACACACATACCTCAACCTCTGCAAAATATTCATGACAGTTATATACTGCTATCTGCCACAGGTCACTGCTGTTTAAAATCAGGGAAAAATCAGGTGCTGATCCTCGTGGTTGACCCATGGCAACATTCAGTCCACAACATTTCCAGATGTTACATTTGTGTCCAACACAAAATGTTTTTTTTTTAAATTTCAGTATTCAAAGTGCTTTATTTTTTCTTGTTTTTTAAAATCTTTTTTATTTTTTATTTTATAACACGTATGGACATACAGAACCAACAAAACACATACAAAACAAGCAAAAACATATAGGCGTATTTTATAACACATATGGGCATACAGAACCAACAAAAAATACACACAAAACAAGCAAAAACATATAGGCGGCGGGGGGGAGGCATTTCCATACAACATTATCCATTATATAAATCTGACTGCATCAACCTTATTGCTCTTAAAAATTTAGTTCAATATAAACCATCCTAAAGTTATAATAATTCTAGTGATTGATTTTGTTATAGATTCTTTCTCTTGCATCCTTAGCTAACCAATTATACCTCAGGGTATGAATGCTTTACCATCATGAGAAATCAACATTCCAAAAAGCCAAAAGATATATTTATCTAACCTTAACTACATAGGCATATTATAATTGATATATGCTTGATATGTCTATGTGAGTGCCTTATAATTAATAATCTCCAATATTGTGTTCACTCTAATATACATCTATGCATATATGTATTTCATATCAATATTTCAAATGTTATCAGGATTTCAGAAGACAGATTATCTATCTATCTATCTATCTATCTATCTATCTATCTATCTATCTATCTATCTATCTATCTATCTATCTATCTATCTATCTATCTATCTATCTATCTATCTATCTATCTATCTATCTATCTATCTATCTATCTATCTATCTATCTATCTATCTATCTATCAACCTTATTTACTTAATCATGTTACAATTCATATATATATTGTTTCTCTAAGTAGGTGCCTTACAATTAACAATTTCTAATGTTATATTCATCATAAACATTTCAGATTACATCGTTAGAAATTCTTAATTACCATTTGAACCCAAGCATAGTCGGAATTGCTTACAGTATATGAACCACGTCAGTTTTATGTATAAATGTGTGCCTCTCAATCCATAAATTCCATTGTTATATTCAGCAAGTCACACTCCCCCTTTTTTAATTTATATATCTTAGCTCCAGCTAAAGTGTCCAACACAAAATGTTGACACAGACTTGCGGGGAGACACAGCCGGCACAACTTGCAGGGTCCTGTCACCTTTTGTTCTTAAGGGTGTGGTAAGAGGCTCTCTAGCCATCTTTGTGTTAATTTAATAGGATATTTTTCCAGGATGGGGAGGTGAGACATGGGATTCATGTCGGACCTAAGTGGCACCAGTGACTTGACTCAGATTCAACTTGGGTTAGCTTGTTTGTTTCCCAATTACTCAGATTCAACTCCTGACTCAGGACTGACCCCTCACTCCCTTTATTCTGGTGGTGGGGGGGAAAGGTTTGCTTTTAATAGGAACTCAGACTTGGGGCTTGGTACACACCCCCCCCAATGATCAGAGAGTGACAACATCTTTTTCAAAAGACTCATTTTCTTGTCAGGACCACAGGACCAAAAGGATGAGTGGCAACCGGAGAGATAGTTAGGGCTGTATTGTTGTTATTATTATTATTAGTTTTATTTATATGCCACATTTCTCCCAACAAGGGACCCAAAGCAGCTCACAACATTAAAATTCGCACAATTTAAAAACACAGTAAGTTAAATATTAAAAGATAAATTAAACAATAGATGATTTAAAAATTAAAATTAAAAGATTAAAACATTAAAGCATGGAAAGATTATAATTATTTGCCGAAATGGGGTTCAGGGATTCAGTTGTAATTGTTAAAAGCCTGCCTGAAGAGATGGGTCTTTAGCTTTTTTTTCGGAAGGATAACAGGGAAGAGGTCATCCTGATCTCCCTGAGGGAGAGCATTCCATAGCCTGGGAGCTGCCACAGAGAAGGCCCTCTCCCGTGTCCACATCCGCTGTGCTTGTGCTGGCAATGGGAACGAGACAGGGGTCTCCTCTGCTGATCTTAATTGCCAAGAAGGCGCATATAGGGAGATACGATCCTTCAGGTAGCCCGGATCCAAGCTGTATAGGTCTGTATGGTTTAGACCTGTGAACAAATATTGTGCTGGAGGTTCCATGAACATCAGCTGGAGCTGTTATGTCAGATCTGAAATCTAGAAGCTGATCTCTTGATTGCATTTAATCAAGGAACGTGAACATCAAAGAAAACATGCATGGTGGTTGTTGACGATCTAACTTTTGTTCCCCTGCAGGGCAAAGAATGGGAAATGTGACTCACACTGTTGTGGAAGAGTTCGTCATACAGGGGCTGTCACAGATCTGGGAAGTCCAGTTATTTCTCTGTGCCCTTCTCCTGCTCTTCTACATCATCATCTTGCCGAGCAACATCCTCATCATTGTAACAATTTGGAATAGTCGTCACCTTCAATCCCCTATGTTTTTCTTCTTGGCCAACCTGGCCTTGCTTGACATCTGCTACAGCTGTGTCACTCCTCCAAAGCTGATGTTCAATGCCTTCTCGGGCTACAGAACCATCTCCTATGTGAGTTGCATCACACAACTTTTCTTCATCCATTTTCTGGGTGGGGCCGAGATGTTCCTTCTCTTTGCCATGGCAATTGACCGGTATATCGCTATCTGTCACCCATTGCGTTATGGCACAGTTGTGACCAGGGTGGTATGCTGGGCTCTGGTGGTCAGTGCATGGACTGGAGGGTTCATACACTCCATCCTCCAAGTCAGTCTCATCATTCTGCTCCCTTTCTGTGGTCCCAATGAGTTGGACAACTTCTTCTGTGACATCAACCAGATCATCAGGTTGGCTTGTACCAACACCTATGCTCTACAGTACTTCATGTTTGTGAACAGTGGCTTGGTCATTACTGCATGTTTCATCCTTCTCCTCCTGTCATACAGTGCACTGCTAATGAAGATCAGGATGAGCTCTGGTCCAGGGAAAAGCAAAGCATCCTCCACATGCATCACCCATATTATCATCACCTGCATCATGTTTGTTCCAGCCATCTACCTCTATTGCCAACCCTTCGTGGACTTCTCTTTTGACAAAGTGGTGGGCCTTTTCCACACCATGGTCTTCCCCTTAACAAACCCCATGATCTACACACTGAGGAACAAAGAGATCAAAGTTGCCATCTGGAAACTACTGAAGAAATATGCCATCTAGATAGATGAGTCAAGGAACACTGGGCGAATGAAGGTGTGGTTTAATGGTTGTTGTGGGTTTTTCAGGTTCTTTGGATGTGTTCTGAAGGTTGTTCTTCCTGACGTTTCGCCAGTCTCTGTGGCCGGCATCTTCAGAGGACTGGAGTAGGAACCCACAACAACCATTAGATCCCGGCCGTGACAGCCTTCACAAATACATTGAAGGTGTGGTTTGTTTATTCGTAACCAGTCCCTATAGTGTATTGTGTAGCACCGTGTCAACTCACTGGATTATTGCAAACAGACATCTCTAATATTCTTCCCCTAAGCCTTTTACAAGAAAATCAGACAGACTATTCTTTGCTTTGATTTCACAGACTCTAATTCTGCAAGGATACTAATACAAGGAAGGCCTTAGGAATGGACCTCAACAGATGGGAAACCTTGACATCTTAGCATTCAGCCTGGAGGCAGGCGGTGCATCATGGCCTCTCCCATTTTGAAGAGACCCTTCTCCAGCAGGCTGAGGCAAAGAGGCAGTTACAAAAGCATTAAAATCAAGGAGCTGGACAGGGCACAGATTGTATTTGTCTTCAGTGTGGAAAGGATTGTCACTCTCGAATTGGCCTTCTCAGTCATACTAGATGCTGTTCCAAGTCCTCCATACAGAGTATGCTACCGTAGTCTCTCGAGACTGAAGGATGCTTAATCTAGAAAATTCTGCAAATTCTTTAATATCTGTGTAACAATTGTGCAGTCTTGATCAAAGCATTGAATTTCAGTTTGAAAACACCTAAAACATGTTAAATTTGTTCTTTCTTTATATGGCTTTGCCTTTCTGGAGAGTTGGAAGACTGGATCCTTTTAACTGGCTGGCTAGCTCGGTGAGTTACCTGGCTAGAGCCAGAGGTTGGGAGTTCAATTCACAATTTCCATGTGGCTTGTGTGTCTCATATGTGTTGAATCAATAAACCTGTGCCCAGTGTCCAAGAACTGCTTCCTTAGAAGCATGCCCGTGTTCGTTTTTATTTATTGATTTATTTCTAGTCTGTTTGCTGTATTTATATTTCTGTATTGGATAGGAAATTTGCTATATAGGGTTCATGTATATATTATTACACAGATGTCAAATCATGGGTTTAGTGAGACGCATGAGTGCAGAAAGAAACCACACATCACACCCTGTGCTTCTAAACCTATTGGTCTAACAGTGACTTATCTTATCGACATGATAACAGATTAGTCAGTGAAAAAATTCATGCCACTCAGGGAAGAAAAGGTATGATCGCCTTTGAGGAGTCAAATTTGCTCCTCTGCAGCAGGAGAGAGGAGCCGGTCCTCTGTATGGGTAATGCTTCAACAATAACAACCCCTCATTGGACTCAGGGGCCTCTGACTTTGACTTCTGCATATTTCTTTTGTCCTGTTTTATCATGCTTGTCGCGTCCCCCTAGCGTCCCTTGTTTGTTCTCCACAAACACAGGCCCACCCTCAGGATGTGTCGCCTCTTTTTATGCTGCCGCCAGTGGATCTCATCCACAATATACCAAATATATCTCAGACTTGTGTTGCCAACACAAGAAGGTTTTATTGATCATTTACCAGTAGTTGGTATGTAAATCACAGATGTAAATCACAGTTGTTGAGGATCATTCATTAAATTGGATTTGATTACACGTTTATTTGTATGTGTTTTTATTCACAATTCACAGTAAATGCATTCACGAAGGCTTTCACGGACGGGATCTAATGGTTGTTGTAGGTTTTTCGGGCTCTTTGGCCGTGTTCTGAAGGTTGTTCTTCCTAACATTTCGCCGGTCTTTGTGGCCGCCATCTTCAGAAGATGCCAGCCACAGAGACTGGCAAAACATTAAGAAGAACAACCTTCAGAACATGGCCAAAGAGCCAAAAAAAAAACCATAACAACTAATTCACAGTAACCTCTTTAACAATATTCTTTAATCATCTATCTATTCTCTATTGCTTTTATCTCTTTCCTATTCTCTATAACACTCCAACTTTCCAATCTGTCTTAACTCTCTCAATTCAATGTCCTAACTCTTTCTCTTCCATTCCCTGTCTATCTTCTCCTTCTCTCTAACTGCCTGCCACTCTAATTCTGCCTGTCCTGTCCTATCATAGACTAACTCTTTCTGTTCCATTCCCTATCTATTTTCTCCTTCTCTCTAACTGCCTGTCATTCTAATTCTGCCTGTCCTGTCCTATCATAGGGTCCTGCACATGAGCTCCATATGATGGGCAGGAGTGACATGGGCACTCCACCACAATGCTATAGCATCTAATAAACCTTCTAAGGCTCTAGCAACTCTCTGTGTCCATTGTGACTCAAAGAATGGAAGCTCATTGGGGTTCTGGCTAGTCAAAAAGTGGCAAAGGACACAATTTAACCTTTCTTTCAAGAAGATCATGTAATGGACATGGTCCTCTTCCTGGTTTTCATCCTCATAACAACCCTATGAGATAGTTTAGACTGAAGGATGAAAGTGGCAGAAGATCATACAGTGGAGATTTGAGCCAAGGGTAATCCGCCATCCTTGTCCAATGCACCAACCATTAAATGATACTGTTTTGTGTTTCTTGGTCTACAAAGAATTGCATCACACTACAGTTCAAATCAAGGACAGCTCTTTGCCTCCCCTCCCACCCTAGAGACCATCTGTACTCTCTTTGCGACACTCTCTGTTGACATCTTAATGAGTCCCCATAGGAATGGCGGATGTGATGTCTCTCTGGGGCCTTTCCTTGTTATGGCCTCCAACCGTGGAAGATGAAAAGGTATATTGTCCACCAGGTAGCCCTGGGTAGCGGTTAGACAGCTGTACTGGGAATCAGAAGAACTATATTAAGGCTCCCACTGAGCCATAAAAATCAACCGTGAATTCAACCCAATGAACAGTGTGCCCCTCCCTTCCTTTCTTCATTTACAGTTTGTACATTCATTTTTCCCTCTGATCCTGCAGTTTGTACATTCATTTTGCCCTCTGATCCTGCAGAACTAGCACCTCTATACCAGTCACAGGCAGAAGCTGATGCTAAAGCCAAACACAGCATGGTGATGCCAAACATCAGAAGCAATTGCTCCAGAAATCTTTAACGAACGTCTACAAGAGTTTTCAGGTAGGAGAGAGTTTGAGACAAATTGAGGCCCTGTTACTTTTCATTGTTGTACTTAAAAAAAAAAAAAAGCAGTTACAAGTCTTTTGGTTTCTACCCAAAAGAAGACAGGTCTGTTATGTTCTTTTTTTAAAAAAACAATTCTTGAGAGATCTGTGACGTATGGCAGATTAATGTATAGCTAGGGTTGCCAGAGACATGGGTACTAAAAGGAGGACATGGAAAGAAAAAAAGAGAACAGAGAGGGACGTATTGAATGTTTCATTTGAAGAGGACAGAGAGGGACGTATTGAATGTTTCATTTGAATCGTTCCAGATTAAATCCGCAGTCAATACGATTTTATTACAATAGCTGCCAAAAAATTTCTCTTAGGGAACCGACCAAGAAACAGTCATATTAAAAAATAAAAATAAATTCAATGGAGGGTTTTTTTTTCAAAACTTCCTTCCACCTCTCCCCCTCCCATACAAAATTATAACATAAAATATACAAAAGCCTGACATTTTAAAGGTTTTTATCTTTGCCTGCCGGACGGAAGACAACCGGACGTCTGGCAACCCTACGTATAGCCCAACCCTACATTTTCACAGTGTAAAGTGGAAGATTTGGGCGGTCATAAGAGAACAGGAATTGTTGGCGATTTAATTTGTTATGGGGGAGATGGAGTGGCATCCTTCAGACGTGCTCCTCACATGCCCAAATGCTTCAGTTACCATTGAGTACTAAGCAGTGTGACCTACTTGCTTGGCAGTTTGCCTCCCGCAGCAAAATGTCTTCACGCAGCCTTCCAGCAATTTCTCTCTGCCAATCTCATCTGTACCTTTCCGAAGCCATGGCCGCATATAAATAGCTTGTACGCTTTGGGGTTGGCTTGACTACTAATGCACTAAAGTCAAGGGTAATGAAAAAACTCGCTAACTGTTAGAGCAGTATGACGATGGACATGATGACCTTGTGAGGTGGTGAGTGCTCAAATGCAGGAGGCATTCAAGACGATTTAGACAACCATCTGTCAGATCCGCTTTGACTTGTATTCCTGCATTGAGCAAGGGGTAGGACTCGATGGCCTTATAGGCTCCTTCCAATTCCATTATTTTATTATTCTATGGATACTCAGACTTCTCCACATCTCTAGATTTACCCATCCTTAGTTGTCAAGGAAGAAGGACGCATAGTTCTGTGGTAAAGCATGTTTCTGGTTCAGCTTTGAGCCTCTCCACTTAAGGCTCTCTCTGAGCCTGAAGAGTTGCTCCCATTATGGGCTGGCAATAGTGAGATGAAGGGACAAATAACCTGCCTTCCACATATGGCTGCATTATATCAGAGATATAATAAGCAATTTTGATTACCGAGGTTTTGCCGTCCTGTTGGATAAGCCAGAGTCCATGAGTTTGGAGTCCACCAGGACATGACAGAGGAAGAAATTCGTGGGTTGAAGCAGAATGCTGGGATTCCCAGTGTGGTGTAGTGCAGTGGCCCCCAGACTTGGGCCTCCAGATGTTCTTGCACTACAACTCCCAGAAGCCTACACCACCACCTCTTCGGCCAGGATTTCTGGGAGTTGAAGTCCAAGAGCATCTGGAGGCCCAAGGTTGGGGACCACTGGTGTAGTGGATAGAGTGATGGACTAGGACTCTGGAGAACAGGCTTCGAATTCCCGCTTGGCTATGGAAACTCGCTGGGCGAGTGGGGCTGGTAAAATCATTCCTTAAAAATCTCATTTACCTTGAAAGCCCTGTTAGGCTCACATAAGTCAGTTCTGACTTGAAAGCACAGAAAACACACACACACACACACAAGCATAATGGTCATATTTGTTCTCTTGTTTTGTGTTGCCTCCTACGAGAGGAGAAGCAATCAAAGGTATACCTACTCAGGACGGATAGCTTCACACCTATCCAACAGTGAATTTTTGTGCCCTCTAAATTTAAGGGCTGTGGGTCATAACCTCAGTCACCCTCATTTCAGTTATCTGTGCACCCTCATTTCCTGCTATTTGTGCAGCCTCTTGAAGTCAGGAGTTTGCAGAACAGCTCTCTTGCTCTGATCTAGCTGGTCAGTCATGGTCAACATGCCTAGTTCATGTTCCCCCAAGGACTCCTGCTCAGAATTAGAGAAGCTAAACAAAAAGCTTGCTGGATAGCTCAATGGTTTAGGTCTCTGACCGCAGAGCCAAAGGTTGGGGGTTTGATTCCCCGCTGGGCCTCCTGCAAGGAGAGCCACTTTGGCTGGCCTTGGGCAAGCCACACAGTCCAAGAGTGTCCCCAGAAGAAGGGAACAGTAAAACACTTCTGCCTATTCTCCACCTGAAAAACCTTGAAATAGGTTTCAAGGTCATAGGTTTGTTTACTGTATTGTCCACACATATGCGTGGCTTAGCAAAAGGAGGGAGAAAGGATCAAAGCAATTCCAAGACTGCACAGTCATTTTGATCCCTTTCCCCCTTATACAGCCACGGGATTGCTTTGATCCTTCCCCCCTTCTTTTGCTAAGCCCCATGGGACTTAGCAAGCAGAGGGGAGAGCAGGGATCAAAGCGATCCTGCAGCACTTTGATCCCTGCTTTTCTTTTGCTAAGGCTTGGCAAGTGGAGGGGAAAGCAGGGATCAAAGCCCTGCAGGATCGCTTTGATCCCTGCTTTCCCCTCCACTTTTTTCTCCTCAGCTTACTTCCATGTATAAGACAACCCTCAATTTTTAGTCTAAAGATTTTAGACAAAAGTATTGTCTTATAAGCAGAAAAATATGGTATTTTTATTTTTCACTGTAGCTACTTTTGTGCTCCCTTATGTTTGTTGCAGGAAGACATTGTTGCAGGATGATTCAAGGGAATGATTCCATGGTGAAAGAATTCATACTTCTCGGTCTCTCACAAGCACAAGAGACCCAACACTTCCTATTCTTTGTTTTCCTTCTTGTCTATTCTCTGATCCTGCCTGCCAACATCCTCATCATTGTGACCATACAGAATGACCCCCGATTGGGTTCCCCCATGTATTTCTTCTTAGCTAACCTTGCTTTCCTAGACATCTGCTACTGTTCTGTCACCCCACCCAAGATGCTGGCCAATATCTTCTCCAGCCACAACACCATCTCCTACAAGGGTTGCATGTCCCAGATCTTCTTCCTCCATTTGCTGGGAGGATCGGAAGTTTTCCTCCTCATTAATATGGCAATTGATCGCTATGTGGTCATTTGCCATCCTTTACGCTATGCCAGTGTGGTGAGCCGGCCAGTCTGTGGTGCCATGGTGGTGGGATCATGGTGCGCAGGGTTTGTCCACTCCATCGTCCAAGTTGCCCTCATTGTTCCACTCCCTTTCTGTGGCCCCAATAAGCTGGACAATTTCTTCTGTGACATCACACAAATCATCAAATTGGCCTGCATTAATACCCATGCTCTAGAACTCTTCATGTTTGTCAACAGTGGCATTTCCACAATCATCATATTTCTCCTCCTCCTCATCTCCTACATGATCCTTCTGGCCAAGGTAAGGACAGGATCTGCTGAAGATAAAAGCAAAGCTACATCCACGTGCATAACCCACATCATTATTGTCATCATCATGTTTGGTCCTGCCATCTACATCTACTGTCATCCTTTCCGGGAATTGCCTTTCAACAAGGTGATGGCTGTTTTCCATACCATAGTATTCCCCTTGATGAATCCCATGATCTACACACTGAGGAACAAGGAGATTAAACATGCCATGAAGAGGTTGTTGGGTAAACATAGACCTCTGGCTTGGCCAGTCCTACTATTTAAGGGACGTGGTGGCGCTGCAGGTTAAACCTGTGCTGTAAGGTCTGTAGATCTACTGCTGTAAGATCAAATCCACGCGACGGAGTAAGCGCCCGTCACTTGTCTCAACTCCTGCCAACCTAGCGGTTCGAAAGCATACAAATGCGAGTAGATAAATAGGGACCACCTCGGTGGGAAGGTGTCTAAGTCGCACTGGCCATGTGACCACAGAAGATTGTCTTCGGACAAACGCTGGCTCTATGGCTTGGAAACGGGGATGAGCACCGTGCCCTAGAGTCGGACACGACTGGACAAATTGTCAAGGGGGACCTTTACCATTTACTATTTAAAAAAAATCTAAGAAATCTACTTATATTGTCTGGCCAGCAGAATACAACCTTCTCTTCTTGAGCCCCTACATTTACTATTTAAAAAAAAATCTAAGAAATCTACTTGTGTTGTCTGGCCAGCAAAATACAACCTTCTCTTCTTGAGCCCCTACATTCAGTTTTTGACATGATAGATGCCCAGTGAGGGAACATGCCCTCCGAGTCCTGATAAGCATTTTGGTAAGTGGTTTTATCCCATTCTGTCCTCAATCCCAGGAAGATTTCAGTACAAGATATTAATAAAAAAAAATCTAAGAAATCTACTTGTGTTGTCTGGCCAGCAAAATACAACCTTCTCTTCTTGAGCCCCTACATTCAGTTTTTGACATGATAGATGCCCAGTGAGGGAACATGCCCTCCGAGTCCTGATAAGCATTTTGGTAAGTGGTTTTATCCCATTCTGTCCTCAATCCCAGGAAGATTTCAGTACAAGATATTAAAGAAAGACCTCAGTGGATGCATTGTGCTTGTTTGAGGACAGGAAGGGCCCTAGCATTAGGCAGAGTGGAGTAACTGTCTTAGGTGGCAGATATGAGGGATTGACAATTATTGCCAGACAGGGGTTCATTTCCCCTGCTCTCAAAATGACTTTACAATCTGTTGACCAAGTCCACGCAGAATAAGGAAAACTTCTCAATGATCTCTCCAGAACTGTTAACTCTCTCTCTCTCAATGGCAAGTCATCAATGTGCACACAAAATTATGCTACTTTATGCAAGATATTATTTCCTTCTGAGCTTTTCTCGGCTAAGCTGGCTCTTCATCACTAGGATCTGAGTCAATGTTAGGGTAAATAAAGCTGCAAATTGTGCATAACACTACTTTATTATTTCGAAGGCTGTTCCTTTGGAGAAAAAAGAGAATCTGTCATGTTTGATTCAGTTTCAAGTGTTGTTGCTCATTCTGGAGCTCTTGGCTTAGAGCAAGGGAGGAATCTGATTTAATAAATATGAAGTCCTTTAGAAGATGTGCTTAAGCAAAAATTCCCCTGTTTGATGGGTCATTCTGGGGATAGACATCTATACATCACCAGAAAGGATGTAGGAGGGCAACAATCTGTATGAAGATGCATTGGCAAATTTACATGTGCAGATGCAAAACTGGAAATGACTTTTAAATATATTAATTATGTATTTCACTCATGTGCCTGCTTGAAGGGGCTGTGCGGGTGGGTGTCGAGGGGGGAGTGCATGCGGGTGTGTGGGGGGTTTGAGGACCCCTGTTGTAAAGGGTCATCGTAAGGTGAAATCAACTTGATGGCACATAATTATTAAATACATATATTTAGATGGAACAAAACCCAACATATACACACACATTACTGCTGTAAGAAAGCCAGCCTGGTCTGGTAGCAACTAGAGTAAAATTCAAGGATAAAATAACAAAGCCTTTTCATGACCTTGGCTGCTTAGTCCCACTAGAGATGTCTCAAAATAGCAGGTCATTCCACAAATTTATTTATTTTAGCCAGTCACCCATACTATGTTTTCTTCACTAACAAGTATCCATAGCATCGTCTCTGGCACCCTCTAGTGGCTGGTTCATGTGAAAACAGTTTTTTTTTCTTTTAATATTTTCAGAACGTGGATAAATGAAACTGTGGATACTGATCCTATGGATATGGGGGAGGGGGGTCCTTCTGTATTTAAAAGCTATAAAAGTAAGTATACAAATACTTAAAAAGATAAAACAAATACCACACTAAAAATAGCAAACAAAATCAACACTAAAAACACATTCGAAGCAACAAGGCACAACGCTCCATTCAAAAGCCCCTCTCAGACGGCCAATTACTCAGGGAAAGCCTGCCTGAAGAGAAAGGTCTTTGCCTGCTTGCGGAAGGACAGCAAAGATGGGGCCAATCTGGCCTCCAGTGGGAGGGAGTTCCAGAGTCTGAGAGGAGCAATAAAGAAAGCTCTCTCCCATGTCCCCACCAAGTGCATCCGTGAGGGTGATGGGACCAAGAGAAAGGTCTGTCCTGGTTATTTTAACACTTGAGCAGGCTCATTAAGGGAGATGCAATCTTTCCAATAACTTGAACCCGAGCCATTTGAGGCTTTGTAGGTTTGAACCAGCACATTGAATTGATCCTAGAAACGGATTGGCAGCCGGCGGAGCTGCTGTTAGCAGGGGTGGTGCGGAATCGGTAGGTGATCCCCGTGACCAGCCCCCGTTAGCAATCTGGCAGCTGCGTTTTGGACCTAGCTGCTGTTAGCAGGGGTGGTGCGGGATCGGTAGGTGATCCCTGTGACCAGCCCTCGTTAGCAATCTGGCAGCTGCGCTTTGGACCCACTGAAGTTTCCTGACTCCATCAGCAGCCCCACACATTGCAGCATTCTAGCTGGGAGGTCAGTAAGGCATGGATCACTATGACCAGATGAACCTTCTCAAGAAATGGGTGCAGCTGGCACATTTGTTTTCATTGTGCAAAGGCATTCCTGGCCATCAATGAAACCTGGGCCTCCAAGCTCAGAGATGAACCCAGGATCACCCCCAAGCTGCACACCTCTATTTTCAGAGGGGGTGTAACCCCGTCCAGCACAGACTGCAACCCTGTTCAAAGCACAGGGCAGAGGAAAGCCACTAATTGTGATGGTGTTTCTTTTTCTTCTTCTTCACCAACCCATCTCTTGGGCATGACCTCATTGATCATATTTATCAGCACCAAGTTCTTAACAAGCTCCCTCAGTGTCAGTCTGGGCCAGCTTCCAGAATAACTACCAAGCAGATCCCATCCTCGACGCTCCTTCTGGATTGAGTGTTACGTGAAACAGCCTGTGAGAGGCTTTCTTCCATTTGTGTACTGAAAAGTAAGTAGCATTTCATTATCATTACACTCTTTTGTCCCACTGCTTTTTTCCCTCTTACTTTAGGTATGATTCTTCCAAACAAGCACCTTCTAGAGTCTAATCTGAACCCAGGTTTCTTAACAATCATGGCACGCCATTTCCCCAGCCCTCCTGACTTTACAGTTTCATAGTCTCCTGATTTTTGTCCTTCTGACAACTGTTCCAGAATTTTATGGTCAGTGTTGCACATTGACCGGGAAACACCTCCAGACAAGCTAAACAGATTCCTGGGGATACACAAAGATCATGAAACTGACTGCTATAATGGGCACAGGACATAAAACATAAATTGTCGACTCTCGAGAGTGGAGTATAAATGCTTGCAAAAGGGGGAAAGATGAAGAAAAACTCTTTATTGTTGTGGTTGTCAGAAACCAACTGGCATTCTCATCCCACCTCTAATTTATCACTGGTTTTTGAGTCTTTTTACACTTCCGCCATAAATTTCTATATGTTTTTCCTTGTTTTCCGTTCAGAATGCATGTAGTTTTGTCTGCATTTTTGTTACTGTAGACATTTTAATGCTTTTCTCTTACTGCCTATGGACCTTTCTGCACCTTTCCCAGACATATGCATGGCTTTATGCACATTTTCCCATCGCTGCTGCATCTGTGCTTCATCCACAGCCCATTTTAGAAGATGCAGAAATCAACATGGCCCTCACTCTCTAACTTCATAGCGATCGGCTTTGTGTCCAGCTGCACAATAAAATAAACCAGTGGGCTGATTAGCTTAACTCTGGGTGTGATCACACAGGCAGAGAGCTCTCCTTTCGGACTCCATTGTGTGCCATTTCCTGGTGATCACACAATGTACAGGCAATAACATGCCAACATGCCTATGTTGATGTTATTTATGCTATATGTTGTAACTTTGATTCCAACTTACAAATAACAGGCAGTACTGCTAGCCCTCAGTGTTGCAAGGCTGATGATTCTGATGTTGCAAAGTCAGAGGACCTCCCTTGGGTTTATGGTCCAAACTTTACATGTTGTCCTAAAGCCTGACCCAAGCACCCTTCAAATAGGACTCAGTACCATGGACAGCTCCTTCAGAGATCTAGCTAAAAGAGGATCAGGCTAAAACATGGAGCAGAGTTATCCCCCCGCCATAGCACTGAAATCACTAGACCTCATGTTCTGTGCTTTTTCAGCATCATGTGGAAAGGTGGCTTCCACAAACGTTCTGCTGGCACGTTACTTCTTATGTGGATGCCTCCTGCAGTTCTGCTGGCATGTCTGTTCATCACGTTACTTCTTATGTGGATGCCTCCTGCTCTCTGGCAAATGCTTTTTCCATAATTGCATTTCTCCCTCTGGCTCTCTGTCTTCACAATGGTGTTATAGAGAAGAGTTCTTAGAGTGAATATGCCAGAAAATTTTGAATAGTAGGAATGTCAGCATCACTGATCACCACCCTTCAGGGCTTGAAGTCTTGAAGACTAGCTACAATCTTCAAGGTCACTGAGCAATGAATTTTTCTTGACAAAAAAATATTGTTATGAGCAATTCCTACTCTAATGCAATGTAATTCTAGACTCATTTTGTCCTGAACAGGCAATTAAGAACCATTAGCAAGACTAAAGACCTATTCTTGTGTATGAATGGACTTAATTTACCTATATATCATCTTTCCCCTTCAACTGGGACGCAAGGTGGCCTATAACACAGATTAAAAACAATCTCATTAAAATATAAATTATGAATATGAAAGTAGGATAGAACTCATAATAGTAATACAATTACATTTAAAGCACTTTAAAAATCTCTCAGTTAAAATACCCATGGTACTTTGCCTAGAAAGAAATAGGAAAAGAAATCAGCAGGAGTAAAACAGCCTTGTTGATTAGAAAGCTATTAATTCCAGAAAGCCTGGCTAGATGAAAAAGTATTTGCTTTTAGGAAGGACAGCAAGGTGAGTTGGGTGCTATCCGAGTCTTGCACTTTACAAGGACTACCAGAGCTTGGGAGTGGCCCCCGAGAAGGCTATGCTAATGGAAGGGACATTGTTGATGTGGAGCAATGGGCCTGCCTGCATTTGGGGGTCTCCTACTGGCACCATGGCTGAGGGGGGTGTTGCCGTGATGGCCTTCTCTTACAAATTCATCCCAACATCACAGCACTGCTGTTTTCTGACAAAGAAAATAACTTCCAAGATGCTTTTCCCAGGAACAAGGAGCATGCAATCCACTCAACAAACAGAATTTGTTCCTCAAGCTCTTGTACGAATTTACTTCCTTTGCAAAACTCTGTTTTTTACTACAGGGAAAAGCCCTTCCAGGATGGTGCAATCTCAAGGGAACCATTCTATGGTGCAAGAGTTTATCCTGCTCGGTATCTCCCAGGCCAGAGGGATCCAGCTTTTCCTCTTTGTCCTCTTCCTTCTCTTCTACTCTCTGGTCTTGCCAGGGAACATCTTCATCATCCTGACCATCTGGAGCAACCCCCGTCTCAACTCCCCCATGTACTTCTTCTTGGCCAACCTTGCTTTCCTGGACCTCTGCTACTGCTCCATCACTCCTCCCAAGATGCTGGCTGATGTCTTCTACAGCCGCAAGGCCATCTCCTACAAAGGCTGCATGGCACAAATCTTCTTCCTTCACTGGTTGGGGGGTTCTGAAACCTTCCTTCTGATCTCCATGGCCATAGATCGCTATGTGGCCATATGTCACCCCTTGCGGTACACTGCTATCATCACCAGAGTTGTCTGCTACCTTTTGGTCCTGGCCTCTTGGTTTCTCGGACTCCTGCACTCCATTATTCAAATAGTCCTTCTCATGCCACTCCCCTTCTGTGGTCCCAACACACTGGACAACTTCTTCTGTGACATTACCCAGATCATCAGGTTGGCTTGCATGGATACCTATGTCTTAGAGTTAATCATGTTTTTTACTAGCGGACTTTCCCTCTTGATATGCTTTGTTCTCCTTCTCATCTCCTATGGAGCCCTCTTGGTTAAGGTGAGGTCAGGCTCAGGGAAAGGCAAAAGCAAAGCTTCCTCCACATGCGTCACCCACATCATTGTCATCTTCATCATGTTTGGGCCGGCCATCTTCATCTACTGCCATCCCTTCCGGAACTTTGCCCTTGATAAGGCGGTGTCCGTTTTCCACACTGTGATTTTTCCCTTGATGAACCCCATGATTTACACACTAAGAAACAATGAGATCAAACATTCCATGTGGAAGTTGGTGGCCAAATACTGCAGGTTCAGGACGAAGAGGATTCAATGATAAAACTATTTAAAAAAATTAAAAAAAACTTTTCAGATGGATAACCATAAATGAATGGATATGGATCACGTAGGCGGGTTGAATAACTGGCTCATAAGTTGGGAGTTTGATTCTGTACAGTACTGTGTCTCACTGTGTGGGAGAAGGAGCCAGCCTGTATTGCCCTGGGCAAGTGCCCCCTGGAGGAGGGAATGTTAAACCACCTCTGAGTACCCTAGACTTGAAAAAGCCAAGAAATGTTCACCATTAAGTCAGTATTTATTTGACCGTATGTGCTACATTTTGTTGTTCTCATTTTCCATCATATTTTGAGGGCAGGTTCCATACCTTAGAATTCTCCATGTTCATAAAATCCAGTCACATTTTCAAATACCAGCTAGATATGATTGTGGTTTTGAAATGGATTGTTTCTTAAAGTTTGGCTCAAAAAGAGATTAAATACTGAATAGTAAGCTGAATTAATTGACTAATTACATGTCATCAAGTTGATTCCCACCTCTACTAACCCTTTCCAGGGTTTTCTAGGCATATAAAGTACTCAGAAGTATTTTCGAAGGCTTTCACGGCTGGGATCTGATGGTTGCTGTAGGTTTTTCAGGCTGAAGTAGTTGAGCAGACCCTGCTTCTGGGGGTGATCTGGGATGGTCCAGCTTGCCCAAGGTTACACAGGTTGGCTTTTAACCCAGGAGGCAAAAGTCGGGAATTGAACTCCCAGCCTCCACAACAAATATTCCAGCTTATTTATTTATTTATTTATTTATTTATTTATTTATTTATTTATTTATAGTTGGATTTCTACCTCGCCCATCTAGACCAAAGGTCTACTCTTACTTGGTGAGCCAGTTAATTGACTTACAAGATATAAAGTCTTTGTGCATTTGATGACAGTGTTGTCATTATAACCTTCATATATTCTTGACAACTGTTTTTATTTATTTATCTAAAGCATCTTTACCTCAACCTGCAGCTAAAAAGGCTCTCAGGGCAGCTTAGAAAAATAAGGGGTAACAAGACAGTTCCTGCCCTCAGACTTGCTGGCTGTAAAGTAAGGACACAAAAGGAAAAGCCACTAGGAGGGGCGGGGATGAAAAACCAACCAACCAAAGCACTTAGGACTGAGGATGTGAATCCTCCAGATGTTGTTGGACTGCATCTCCCCGCAACCCTGGCCATGAATAGCTAATGATGAGGGGCGATGGTAGTCGTGGTTCAGTGACAAGAGGAGCCCCACACCATTATAGCCCAGCCTTGTATTAGAGTATGGTTATTACAAACAGTGTGACAACTCTGATTTGTGTGTTAAGGAATCCACTTCAGGTTTTATCCTGAACTTTCAGGGAACTATCAGAAGTGCTGGGACCTGTCTCTAGAACAACTTCGGCACCTTGCATAGCGCTGTGGCAGTTCAGACTAAAATCTGGTGGAGACACCTCCCCCCTCTCAAGATGTCATTGGTTCATTTCACCCAACCTCCACCTGGGAGGATGTTGAGAGTACAAAGAGAGGGAGGCCAATCTTTCTGCTGAATCTTCCACTGTTGGTCGTGTGTGATGGGGTGGGGAGTTTCCGTAGACAAATAAATCCAGCTCACACCTTCCCAGCACTACACTAGATCTGGGTGTCATGCAGTGGCACAATTAAAACCAGCCAGAGTACTTAGATTGGCTATGGCACCATATAGCTACTTCCCTTCCGTCTCCCCCCTTTCTCCTTTTCCTCTTCCCCTTCCAGCAAGAATTACCAGTCCTGGACACTTTCATCTTTTGAAGGAGTTGCATTCCTCCATAGGTACTCAGAGTGGTGTAGAGGACAGATAAGGACTCAGGAGATCTGGCTATGATTCCCCTCTTGGCCATGGAAAAGCCAGAGAAAGTTGAGTCAAGACTGGGGTTTGGAGCTGGTAAAAAACCCTTCTTAAACATCTCACTTACCTTGAAAGCCCTATTAGAGTTGCTATAGTAAGTTGATTTTGACTTCATGGCATGTAACATAATATTCCTGCACACCTTTTGAAGTCTTTGGCTAGAATCCAATGGCTAATTTACACTTGTGCAAGAGAAATCACAATTTTGCTGTGGCCCTGTAATATCATGTGGCTGACATGAGCAATCCTCCTCCTATTTATTTCCACATCTCAGTTGAATATCAGGAAAAACGTCTTAACCGTTAGAGCAGTACAACAACAGAACCAATTACCTTGGGAGGTGGCGAGTAAGGATGGGCACGAACTGATCTACGAACTGAAAAATAACATGAACCGGGCTAGTTTGTGGTTCAATGTGTGGTTCGTTTCATGCAAGCTGGTTTGTGCCCATCTCAAAGGATGAGCCCTCCAATGCTGGAGGCATTCAAGAGAAAACTATACAACGATCTGTCAGATCTACTCTGAGTTGGATTCCTGTACTGAGCAGAGGGTTGGACTCGATGGCCTTATGGGCCCCTTGTAATCCCATGAGTCTAGGATTTCCACCCTGCTTCTGTCTGCCCACCCCCATTTGAATCTACCATTTCATAGCAACCTTTAAAAAAAAATTACACGTTTTAAAAAATTGATTCCAGAGATTTCAAAAATGCAGGCTTGTCTCACAGTATGTGGAGCCTGATCCTTGCATTTTACAGTCAGTCAAACCAATTAGCGATCGGTCAAAAGATGCATCAGAAAAAGAAAAAAACTGGCTGTTAACAAGACCAATAGGGAGTGCTTAATATTTTTTTAATACTAGTGGCTTTGTATCGGCATCAGAGGGCAGCAAAGCACAAAGCATAACTGTGCCAGCATTTGAAAGCCTTCCTGGATCTCACCCAGCACACACGCACACACGCACAAACACACACACAAACACACACAGACACCCTCCTTTCCATTCTATGCTTTGGGAAAATTCTTTGCTTACAGTGGAAATCTCCTTATGTGAAAGTAAGCCGTAGTGCAGTCAGAGGGATTTATTTCAAAGCAGGCATATATAGGATTGCAGCAGCATCCGTTTCCTATAAAAGGATACCTTTACTAAGTTCCTTAAACAATGCCATGATTAGGAGAATTTGGAGATTTTTCAGGAGGTGACTTGCTAAAAGAGAGGAGCACTCAAACAACCCATTTCTCATGTTCCAGTTGTTTCCAGTACATTAGCTAAACAATCTTGTGAACAGCCCTGCGAGGTAGTCTGGTGTCTCCCCTCACCACTGCCCACTCCACCACACTGCATCATTAGCCAGAGCATCCTTTCCCCACCGGATCAGATTCGCAAGCCATCTAAGTTTTGCTAGAGCTTATCTGCAAGGCATGGAGATATTCGAAAGCATCCTGCTAGGAAGATCTGTAGTGGTTCCACAGGTAAAGACCAAAAAATTATTCCCTGCTCTCCTCCATCCTCTGGTTCCTGTTGAATTCAGCAGCGTGTGGGACGACAAAGAAATACAAAGCTGCAACTCATTGGTGTAGACCAGTGGTTCTTAACCTTGGGTTACTCAGGTGTTTTTGAACTGCAACTCCCAGAAACCCCAGCCAGCACAGCTGATGGGGAAGGCTTCTGGGAGTTGCAGTCCAAAAACACCTGAGTAACTGAAGGTTAAGAACTACTGGTGTAAACCAATGGTTCCCAGACTTGTCTCCCCAGAGGTACTTGGAATTCAACTCCCAGAAGCCCTTGCCAGCACAGCTGGTGGTGAAGGCTTCTGGGAGTTTTAGTTCAAGACCATCCGGGGACCCAAGGTTGCGATCCAATGTTGTAGACCAAATCTTAGACCCATCCTGTCTCCAATGCTGGACTGCCTTTGAAAAACTCACATGTCCCCATTATTTGCCCCCGCTGGTATTCAATAGAATACCTTTGAAGACAGAGGTTTCATTTATACGATCTTATATAATCAGAATTTGGGAGCATCTCTGATTTGGACAAGAGTTTCCACCCCAGCTAGTTGGCGGAGGGGTGGGGGAGTAGCTTTTTTTCCAAGTGCTGATCATTCTTATTTATTTATTTATTTATTTATTTATTTATTTATTTATTTATTTATTTGAAACATGCTTATTACCTCCCTTAGCCACTATATAAATCTGCAAAGTGTGTTTGGAAATTATCAACAGCATTTTAAACTATTCAATGTGTTTTTATTGTAGGATTGACAGTTGCAGATCTGGTCATGCCATGGTAAGCTGTTTGTTTGTTTGTTTTTATATTATTTATATGCAACCTTTCTCCTCATGGGGAACCAAGATAGCTCACAACAGGTAAAACTATACAACAATCATATAAATGCCATATTAAAAAGCCGTCAAGTATATACGTATGAAGATTAAAAAACAGGATACAAAACAAATTTAAAGCATCTTGAAAAAACATTTTAAAATCTCTAAGTTTAATAAGCATAGCTTTGCTGAGACACTTATAGCTTAAAAGTCTGCCCAAAGAAGGACATCTTTGCTTGGTGATAGAAGGACAAGAGGGAGGGGGCCAACCTGGTTACTTTGGGCAAAGTATTCCAGAGCTTGGAAGCAGCTACTGGAAAGGCCCTCTATGAAACTATGAGCTTTGGTCTAATTAGTTTTCGGCCTGTTAAAACACTGTTAAAATACAATTAAATTTTTTCTAAATATTTTAGAAAAATTGCCATCAGGACCCACAGTTGATATTATTTCAATTAAAAGCCTTCTGGAACAGGAAGGTTTTGACCTGACGATGAAATTCTTGAAAGGCTCCCTTCTCATTGCAGTGGTCCAAACCCTGAACATCTTTTCTTGGCGGCTGATGGAACTGTCAGTGCCTCTCAAAGCTTCCCTCCTCCCTCGCGCCAGTCTCCGCCAGAGGGCAGCCAAGGTGACTCTCCGGGCTGTGTAACTCGACTCGGCGATGATGATCGTCATGAACCTCCAACCACTGTCCCCACGGATCCTCCGGCTGTTTTTTTAGCAGAATGTTGCAGGCCAAAGATAGATCAGGGAAGGTCAAGGAAGGACAGGCAGGGAGAAAAACCTGGAGCTGGGACGTCTTCCAATCTTCTCCAGATTTTAAGGTCCACAGCCAGCAGTACGAGAACATGCTGCCCTCCGAGTGCCACCAGCTTCACCAGGATGTCCTGAAATCCAGAGTATTAAAACGTTACTGTGTAAGAATTTTGGGAACTGTAGTCCAGGAATATAACTTTTACATAAGAACATAAGAATACTAAGAAGAGCCCTGCTGGATCCGGCCAAAGGCCCATCTAGTCCAGCTTCCTGTATCTCACAGTGGACCCACCAGATGCCTCTGGGAGCGCATGACAACTGGATACCTGTCTCCTGATCCCTCTCTCCGGCATCTGGCATTTGAAGGTCCCTTCCTTTGAAGCCTGGAGATGATACATCCCCATCATGGCTTGTCACCTGTAATGGACTTTTCCCTCCACAAATCTGTCCAATCCCCTTTTAAAGGCATCTAGGCCAGATGCCATCACCATGTCCTGTGGCAAGGAGTTCCACAGACTAACAGGTCCCTCCCAACTGTTATTCCATGATTCTATGAAGAATGCTGTGGCATTAAAAAAAAACACTAACATATTTTACTTGGCTTTAAGGTTTCATGGTCTGCAGCTGACTTCATCAGAAAGGTGTTCCACAGACTTAACAACATGCTGGGGAAATAAATATTTTCTTTGGTCTCTTCTCGCTCTCCCAACACTCCACTGGAGTAGATGTCCCCTGGTTCTAGTATTGCTTGAGACGGAAAAGAGCTTCCCTGACCCACTTCGTCCATCCCCTGCGTAATTTTATCCCAGGCTCTGTTGAAAAGGCAGAGATAGTTGAGTCTCCATTGCAGGTGCTGGTCAAACTTACCTGTGTGGTTTAAGAGGTAAGTGTCTCGTGTTGCAGAGAGCTTGAAAAACTTTCTTTTCTGGACCAAAATGCAAGCAGCAGTTTTCAGCCCTGTGTAGTCCCAAACCAGAATTCTTCCAACATCTGGTGGTTAGGCGAGGGAGATTCGGGTATTAATGCTACTTGATGTATTACAGCCTTCCTCGAGGTGGGATATACCTAGTGTGGTGTAATGGATAGAGTGATGGAGGAGGCCTCGGGAGACCTGGGTTCGAATCTCTGCTGGGTTATGGAAACTCATGGGGGTCACTGATAAACTCACTCCTTAAATGCCTCACTTACTTTGAAATTCCTCTTGGAGTCGCTATAAGTTAGCTCCAACGTGATGGCACCATAACACATATCTCCAAACTGGTGCCCTTTCATTTTTTGGGACTACAACTCCCACCGTTCCCAGCCAGTATGGGAGCTGTAGTCAAATACATCTGAAGGATATCAGCTTGGCTAATCCCTTATCCTGAAGCACCCACCCATCAAACTCAATGATGGCTTCCCACATTATGAGATTTTCCAAAGAAATAGCCACATTAGGGTGCAACTGTGAAATTATTCTGGATTGAATCAAGTCAACCAGGGTCACCTGAAAGTGAGAACATTTTGAATGACCCTTGCATCCACACACAAGGACCAAGTCTTTTTTTGGGACCTGAAACCACACCGCATTGAGCCCATCTCCCCCTTTTAGCTATCATGCCCCACATTGTCTCATGTGTCCTCTGTGAGAGGAGGGGAAAGCTAGATATTCTTTTGTTGTTGGTAGTGTTGTTGTTAAGAGATGTATCACTGCATTGGCTCGCCACTCAAGTGACATAGCGCTGTGCTGCTAGGGAAAACACTTGCCGGTGCCACTTCACTTCAGTCCTGGTAATCCTCCATGTAGGAAATCAGGCTGAAATGGAGCGATCCTACCTGTGCTAAGGAACCAGTAGCCCCTGCTAGTGATCCAAAAGAGTGCAGATAGGAGTGGGAAAGATTTTGGCTGGTCCACAATTACCAGTATGTGATGCTGTCGCCAGAAAATGGATCTAACCTAGCCATGCCCAAAGCAGACCAAAGTGCAAAATAAAGCACTGTCTGATCACACCCTTCGTCTCTCTCGGCATGCTGGCAAAAGGAAAGGAGAACAAGAAAATATAAGAGAAAGGTTTTGCTCTCTCTTCTCCTCCCCTCCCCCTCTCCACTTCATTATTGTGACCATGTATGGGGTTGTAAAGCTGCAGGAGGAGTGGATACCCGAAAGTCTTGCAAAATTTTTTCCCTCTCATTGGTTCGGTCATCCGTGCCTCAGTTTCCCCACACAGATCCAGAGGGGAACAGATGTATTCATGGCCCTTGAGCTGGCTGGAGGTTGACAGAACCAGTTTCAAGGCACACAGGAAAGAGCAACGTTTGAGACGGGACACGTGAAGCCTTGGCTACTGGGTTTCAGCCAGCAGGAAAAACCAGTTGGGCTAGTAACCAAAGTCCAACTGCAGAGTCCTGCTGTTAGCTTTTCCTCCCTCGACGAAAAATACAAGGCCAGTTTGCTTTTCTGGCTCCGCAGCCAGCTGGCTAAACAAATGACGCCTGCTTCTTGGGAGGACAATGATGACAAACCTAGACAGCATCTTAAAAAGCAGAGACATCACCTTGCCGACAAAGATCCACATGGTCAAAGCTATGGTTTTTCCAGTAGTGATGTATGGAAGTGAGAGCTGGACCATAAAGAAGGCTGACTGCCGAAGAATTGATGCTTTTGAATTGTGGTGCTGGAGGAGGATTTTGAGAGTCCCCTGGACTGCAGGGAGAACAAACCTATCCATTCTGAAGGAAATCAACCCTGAGTGCTCACTAGAAGGACAGATCCAGAAGCTGAGGCTCCAATACTTTGGCCATCTCATGAGAAGAGAAGACTCCTTGAAAAAGACCCTGATGTTGGGAAAGAGTGAGGGCAAGAAGAGAAGGGGACAACAGAGGATGAGATGGTTGGACAGTGTCAAACGTGAATTTGACCAAACTCCGGGAGGCAGTGGAGGACAGGAGGGCCTGGTGTGCTCTGGTCCATGGGGTCACAAAGAGTCGGACAGGACTTAAAGACTAAACAACAACAACCCATCAGTATTGCTTCAATTTGTAGCAACGGCTTTGCAGATCTGACAGATTTGGGATGGAGTCACCCGTTTATCCAAGGATGCCTTGATAGACTGGTCCATGACCTGATGAGAGGGCTCACCTCCAAAATTTCAGGCTGGAAATGCTCTCCCAACTATATGCTTCTTCAGTGTTGATGGCTAAGGATGATGGGATGTGCAGTCCCATCACATCTGGAGGATGGCCAGCGTTGAAGGATGCTGCGATCACCTGTCTGGGCATAATCCTCATTGAAATCAGTGGGGTCCCAGACTAGATTAGAACAGAGTTTTAAAAAATGATGGACATATTTATTGATCCTTTTCACAGGTTGTTTTGTGTTACTTTTAAAAGGCTTATTTATTAGCTCTTCCTTCAGGAAGCTTAAAGTGGTTTCCCATCAGCCTCTGGCACTTACGAAGCCAAGATCCACTTAGGATTAACACCATGACAGCATCATATCCCTGAGGGCCCCTTTGTATAGCTGTATCGATTCAATTATGCTTTCAATTGCCCTGCATCATACATTAATGCCTTGCATTGCAGCCTCTTTTATTTTTGTATTGAGTCTACCCATTTTTAGCATCATAGTTATCATGGTCTGGGGCATGAACTGGGCAAAGGAAGGTTGGATGGCATACAGAAAGGTGGCCCTTTTCCACTGCAGGCGCTGCTGTGGATCTGCACTCCGTTGATTGAAGAAGAGTAAGAAAACCTCCCTGCATGTTCCTTTAAAAAAAAAAAGCATTGCAAGTAGAAAGTTTCCAGCCTGTTCCTGAGATGCTAGTTTTCTACTTGCAAAGAGTTGCAGTCCCCCCCCCTTTTAGGGGAAGGAAGAATTCCAAAAACATAGAACTGCTGGGTAGTTTAGTGGTTTAGGTCTCTGGCTGCAGAGACAGAGGTTGGGAGTTCTATTTCCCAATGTGCCTCCATTACAGGGGCTGGCTTTAATGATCCAAAGGGCTCCGTTTCCAGTTTTGCAGTTCTAAAATGATAATGATGATGATGATGATGATGATGA